ACCTGGTGATGTTCAAGTTGGCATAAGCATACAAGTCTCCTGTTCCAAGTTTTGTTGTGTTCTCTTGAGCTGCTTGGTGGAGTTTTATAATGAAGACAATGATAATGAATATGCCAAAGACCTCAGGGAGGCAAGTGCTGATGAATACATAGAGAAGTGAGTAAAACTTAATAAAGTCATTTTTTTCTTCAAGGCCTAAACTTGGAGAGGTAACAATTTAAAAATAAACCTACTTTACACTTATATTTATGGTGATTTAACAGTTTCCCTGTGGCAAAGATTTACTTTTCCTGGCAGGGAAAAAGGAAAAAAAAAGATATTAATAGATATGGCATAGTAAGAAATATGTATATAAATTCCACTGACGTTAAACGCTTACGATGAAAATCAAAAGTCTTCATTGCCAATATCACTTCGGTGGGAGCTAATTTTAACCATTTCTATTCTAAGGTTGTTACCGTCACAATTCTCAATATTTAAGAAATCAAGAAATAGAGGTATAAGTATACCTTATTATTTACTGACTACCATCTATGAAGGAAAGTTGTTAATTTATTTTACCTTACAACCTTTAGTTCTTCCCAATTTTTGATGAGTATATCATGACTTTTCAAAAATTCTGCACACTACCTTTATAACTTTAAATAATATATCTTAGTCCCTTTCTATTATTGTCATCCTTAGGCAATACAAGAAACTTACAAGCCTCCATACACTTCCCTCAGTCAACTTTTCTCTCTAAAGATTTGTCACCTCTATGTTTATTTTTACATTTAAGACATTAAAAATATGCACATTCTGTTCTGTATGCCATAATTCATTCTTCTACAGTTCAACCACAGGTTAATTCCAAAATTTGAAGAACAATAACTATTTTTAAACATCATTTATAAATTTTAAAAGGATTCTGGGAATATATCAATCGTGGGCCAAATCTAGACTTCAATTTCAGAAAGAAATTGAAAGATCAGAAATCTTCTTTAAGGCGGTGAGTTGTGGTAAGTGTTGAAAGAAAAGGAGCAATGTCATCAACAGCTAGTATTGGGCTCTGAATACAATATGGACCAAAGACCTGAGGCTGCTCAGGTCTGCAACAAAGCCAGATGTTTCCTCATTGTCTTTATGTAGTGTGGTGTGTAGAACCAACGCTAGCTAGACTCAGCGCCAGCAGAACCATCCACCATTTACAGTTCTGCAATTCTGGCCATTATTTCCCTCTGGGAGCTTCTTTTGTCTCACCTGAGAAACTAGGCTGATCATGTTTACCTTATGATAGATGCTGTGTGAGGATTAAATGAGACAAGGAATATGAAAGTCTTTTGTGAACTATAAGTGTTTTACAGATGTTATATACTGGATCATTTCATAGTAGAAAGAGTTTGATTCCCAAAGGTATTGGGATATGATGGATGAAATTCTGAAAACACTTTTTTGGGCCCTGATTTGGGAGTAGCAGATCTGGGTTCTTGTCCCTGTCTTCCATATGAGCAATGAGACATTTCCAATTTTGGGAGTTCAGAGTTTCTATCCATAAAAAGAGGCTGTTTACTGGGTCTCTTTCATCCATGATGATCAGGAATTCTTTTTTAAAAATTTTTTATTGTTATGTTAATCACCAAACATTGCATCATTAGTTTTTGATGTAACGTTCCATGATTCATTGTTTGTGCATAACACCCAGTGCTCCACGCAGAACGTGCCCTCTTTAATACCCATCACCAGGCTAACCCATCCCCCCACACTCCTCCCCTCTAGAACCCTCAGTTTGTTTTTCAGAGTCCATCGTCTCTCATGGTTCGTCTCCCCCGCCGATTTACTCCCCTTCATTCTTCCCCTCCTGCTATCTTCTTCTTTTTTTTTTTTTCTTAACATATATTGTATTATTTGTTTCAGAGGTACAGATCTGTGATTCAACAGTCTTGCACAATTCACAGCACTCACCATAGCACATACCCTCCCCAATGTCTATCACCCAGCCACCCCATCCCTCCCATACCCCCACCACTCCAGCAACCCTCAGTTTGTTTCCTGAGATTAAGAATTCTTCATATCAGTGAGGTCATATGATACATGTCTTTCTCTGATTGACTTATTTCGCTCAGCATAACACCCTCCAGGTCCAACCACGTCATTGCAAATGGCAAGATCTCATTCCTTTTGATGGCTGCATAATATTCCATTGTGTATATATACCACCTCTTCTTTATCCATTCATCTGTCGATGGACATCTTGGCTCTTTCCACAGTTTGGCTATTGTGGACATTGCTGCTATAAACATTGGGGTGCACGTACCCCTTCGGATCCCTACATTTGTATCTTTGTGGTAAATACCCAGTAGTGCAATTGCTGGATCGTATGGTAGCTCTATTTTCAACTGTTGGAGGAACCTCCATACTGTTTTCCAGAGTGGTTGCACCAGCTTGCATTCCCACCAACAGTGTAGGAGGCTTCCCCTTTCTCCACATCCCCGCCAACATCTGTCGTTTTCTGACTTGTTAATTTTAGCCATTCTGACGGGTGTGAGGTGGTATCTCATTGAGGTTTTGATTTGGATTTCCCTGATGCCGAGTGATGTTGAGCACTTTTTCATGTGTCTGTTGGCCATTTGGATGTCTTCTTTGCAAAAATGTCTGTTCATGTCATCTGCCCATTTCTTGATTGGATTATTTGTTCTTTGGGTGTTGAGTTTGATAAGTTCTTTATAGATTTTGGATACTAGCCCTTTATCTGATATGTCATTTGCAAATATTTTCTCCCATTCTGTCAGTTGTCTTTTGGTTTTGTGGACTGTTTCTTTTGCTGTGCAAAAGCTTTTTAGATGATCAGGAATTCTTATATATGTGTGTATTTTGCCCACATTTTGTATCATGTTTCCATTGATGTCTTTCCCTGATCTTCATGCACAGTTGCCAGGGATTTTGTAGGTTTTTCCATCTGTACCATACTTGGGGGTGAGGATGGGCTCACAGTGTAGGGGTATGCCCATGCCCTGGTCTTTATCACAGTCCAACTACCTGGAGAAAGAGAGCTTTTTTGTACAAAGAAATGAGCGTCTGAGGATTCAGTTCTGCTGAGGAGATGTGAGTGAGATCAGAGGAAGAATGAGAAGGACTGAGGTAGCCAAAAGTTTGAAGGCAGTAGGGGAGAGAGGGGTGAGCAAGTAGAACAATATGGAAATCAGGCTCCTAAGAAGGTATAAACAACTGAAGATATATAAGAAAGATTAGTGAGGAGCACTGGGAAAATGCAGATGTTTGTTTAACACAGGGCAAACAGTGTCAGGTTGCAGGAGTAGATCAAGACCAAGAAAAGGGAAGACAAGAGAAGCTGAAGATCTAAGAAGGTGGGAGGAATTGACATGATGAGAAGAGCATAGCAGACTGAGAAACCTGTGGGGATGTGGGCAACTCAGGCATGGGGATGCTCCACATGCACAAGCAGGTGTGAGCAGCTCAGGAGAGGATCATACCAGGAGGGCTGGGAGCTTGGAACCAGGAAGTGAGAGCTGCTGAAGGTGGCAAGCAACTGAAGAGGGCTAAGCCAGCAAGACCATTTGACCACCTATTCTAGGCCCTGTCCAGATCACAACTTCTCCCTATCTGCTACTTTACCTCAGCAGCTTTGTTTGTCTAAGATACTTCCCTATCCTTGCTCTTCTTCACAGTTTCCATAATTGACTTGACCATGGTCTGGCTTGACCTTGACTTTGAACTTGACTTTGAATTTGACTCTGATTCAGACCCATATTTTATCCCAATCATCCAGACCATGTTAGGTGCGTTGTGATCATGGGGACAGAGTCTGTACTTATGTGATTATATAACACTTTAGCAGTAGAATATAAATGCAGGCATGATCTAGTTGTTTATAAGCCTTTTCATACCACTTTTATGGAGTTACCATAACTATGGATTCCCTCTCTCTTCTTTTTTTTTTTTTAGATTTTATTTATTTATCTGAGATAGAGAGAGAGTGAGAGAGAGAGAGAGAACAAGTGGGGGAGAGAGGGAGAGGGAGAAACAGGCTCCCCACTGAGCAGAAAGCCCAATGCGGGGCTTGATCCCAGGACCCTGGGATCATGACCTGAGCCAAAGGCAGATGCTTAACCAACTGAGCCACCCAGGCACCCCTCCTTTTCTCTTCTTGAGTCTATGAGGAGATAAGGTTTCCACAGACCTCCTTGTATCTTTAGGGAAGCCTGTAGGTGGGCAGGACTATCCTCTTTCAATCTCTGGGCCAAGAACAGTTCTGGAGCAAGTGAGGGAAAAAGTGAACACGGGGAGGAGAAAATGAGGACCATGAAAGTATACCAAGGCCTAATCTGGGTCACTAATTTCTTGTGAGCTATGCCTATCACTGAAGACTTCCTCAAAGTGCTGTGGTCACATAAGCATCCTCTATAGAAGGAACTCCAGCTTCATCACTAAGAATGAATTAGAGATCTCTGTATTTAAAACAAATGTACAGTTTGCCAGTAGGGTCAATGTTGTCTTGGTACATAGTGGTATCTGCATTTTACAGTTATGGAAGGCAAGTGTTAGATCAAGCAATGTAGTAATCAGTGCCAAAGATATTCTATTAAGGCTCCAGCAGGAGGTTAGCAAGGTGAGAGACAAGAAAGGAGAAATTATGGAATGCTCATGGAAAGAAATGGGCAGGAAAATCTTCCCTCCAGGGTTGACTTCTTATAATGAAGGAGGTGCCCCTCTAAGGAACTTTGGAAAAGAGACTAATATAAAGGACCAGTATGGTCCAAAGGCTAGTTCCCAGTGGCAGGTACTGATTAAGGAAAGTAAAGACTCCAGGAGAGGGTAAGTTGTTCACTGATGTGTGTGTGTGTGTGTGTGTGTGTGTGTGTGTGTGTGTGTGTGTCTTGGAATTTACTTGGCATTCTTCATACAAAACTTTCTCCTAAAGAAGATTTATATATCCCTCAGTTTTATTTTTAAACTGAGATATTACATCCCAATCTAAGAAACAAATACAAGCAGAAGTAAAGATAAACTCTCTGGGGAGATTCTTTTATTGAGGTACAAAAAGAAGCATGGAAGTCAGTGAGGCATGAGTTTGAGGAAGACCACAACAACTTTTTCCACTCAACAAAGATGACTCTGAATCTGTCTCTGCCCCTACCCAGAGCACTGGCCGAGATGAGGGAAAAGGCAGTCAGAGCCTGGGGATGATGACGATGACTGTGAAGATACCATCACTCTCTACCCATGTCTGTGGAGAAGTTAACATCTTCCTTCATGAAGAAGCTGAACTTTTCCATTACTTTTCCTATGAGAAAACACATAACAAGATTCATTAAACAAGAGGAAATGTTATATGTCAGAGCCAAAAGGAACTATAGAAATTATGAGGCAGAGCTTAATGTTATAGATGAAGAAACTGAATCCCTGAAAAGGAAGGTCCTCGCCACAGGCAGTTGCTGACAGAGACAGAAGCAGAGTCTCCCTAGTCCAGTGATATTTCCACCCTACCTACTGCCTCCACTGATCCCAGAACCGGGGCCCGTCAACCAATATCTTACAATAACAATGGGACACGGGAAGCTGAGGTGGCCTGCTCCTCAGTCTTTCCTGGCCAGCAAGGCCTGTGATGAAGCTGGGTCCTGCATTAGAACTGCCACCACATGTCCCCTTCAGTGTCCTTGAACACAAGCCAGCTTCTAGGCCAAGAGCCCATTGGGTGTGCATATTAGAGAATCTTCCCTTTTGTGAATTTTCCCTGTTCCTGAATAGAAATAAAGATGCAGACATATCCTTCTGAGCTCAGGGCCTAAACTGATATTCTAACTTGTTTAGATAATCACAAAGATGAAAAATACAAGATCGAAGATGGGTAGCCAAAATCCAGGGGTCTAAAGGAGACTTAATAATGAACACAGTGGACTTAGTGTAAGGTAAGAAATGCTAAGGTGCCTGTTCTGCATTAAAGAAGTGACAACTACCTAGTTATATTGCCTTCCAGAAATACTTCACAGGCCAAACAAAAATACCTAAGCAAAACATGCCCACGGGACCCAGGTCTAAGCACTGACAGCTTGCATCTCCCTCTTTTAGATAAGAGAAAACAATTTTTGTGGTAGCCTTCTCCTCTTCCCCCATAAGGCTACAGTTATTTAGAGCCCCTAGGAATTTGAGAAGGATAAAGGTGCTCTAGCCACAGTTTGTCTAAGAATCAAGCAGTCTGGCCTCACATCTCTTAGAAATCATGTAGGATGGTGGTTTTCAATGATTATTTATTATGGGGGTCAAGATCTTTTCTTCTAACAAGATACTATGTAGAACTCCACTACCTAAAATAGCCAAAAGCTGAACTTGGGGTTGGAGATCACCCCCAGATGATCCCCTTAGCCCCCTTGCCTCTATAGAACCTCTGGGCTCCTGGTCTTACTGGATTCCCTCAACTGAGACAGGAATTGGCAGTAGGGTGATGGATGAACTAGTTCAAGCTGGCAGAGCAGGTGGCCCAAACCTCAGCCTGACTGTGAGACAGACAGTTTTCTCTCTCTACCAGCTGCTTCTGGGTGGGAATAAGCACAGCTTATGGAGAGAGAAACAGGCTCATAGAGGAGAGGTTTGCAGTGGAGGACACTGGCCGCAACTTCCTTTTTCTTCCCACAGGGTACTCACAAGTTCTCAATGCATAGGTGGCATTCATTCCCATAGGTGACGTAGTCAGAACCACAGACAGGCAGGTATGTGATGGGGCAGGGGATGGCCACCACTGGGTACTTCTTATAAATGCTGCAGTCCACCTGCTACGGACACAAGAGAACGTTCTAGGCTATGCTGGCCTCTGTTGGGCAGGAAGCAAAATACCATTTTAGGGGTCCCAGGTCAGATATTCTGATGCTGCTGTGGCTACTTCTATTAGTAATATTATCACCATGACAAGTACTAGTACTGCTGTCCCCACCTCTGTTACTACTAGCATACGCTGTTAATAATTCCTGAGCATTTCCATGCTAGCCTTTAAGCTTAAAGTATACATGATTTTTTTTGTTTAATATTCATAACAACTGAATAGGGTAGGTTCTACTGTTACGCCTATTTACAGATGGGTGAAATTCAGGCTGAAAAACAGAGAACTTGCATAATGTAAAAGCTAGTCAGTGACGGGGTTGTGATTTAAATCTAGAGCCTGTGCAATTAACCATGGTAACTCTGTCCTGCCTCTCACATGTTGTCCTTTCCATGAAGACTTTACCAACCTCTCAGCTGGAAGTTATCTCTCTCTCTCCTTTAACTTGGGATATTTTTTAGTCTACAGTTACTTAAATGTAGGTCATATTTCTTCAACTGCCTTCTGGAAAGAAGAGGAGATTTTTTAATCTGTGCCCACCTCCTCCTTTGCCCCCTTCCCAAACACGCTGAATTAATCCTACATATATATTTCAAAACCTTTTGTTGACTAAATGACAGTCAATAGGAATTGAAATCAAAATGTAAATCAATATACTCACTGTTGTTAAAGGCAGACTAGCAGCTTCTGAAAGAGAGTTACAGATGGAAATGTTAAAAATAAAGCAAAGTCTTGAAGTCTCATGAATTAATGTTAATTTGGGCCTGTGGATTGAGACTCTGGTGATGAATCTTAGCACACACTCTGTTCTTATATAAAACTCCAGCTATTTGCTGAAGAAGCCAAATGGCCAGTAAGGTAAGCCCTTTATTCAGGTAGGAGAATTAACCAGTTTCCTCCCTTTATTGACCATGGGGCATTTTCTGGAGTTTATCATGTCTTTGATAATGATTCAAAGTCAGATAGCAATACAACGTATTGCAGTCACCCCTCCTAAGAGCCTGAAGTGCCGCCATCTTTGATAGTCTCCCCTCTGAACTGATACAAAGAAATGTAATGGAACGTTCTTAAGACGTTAGACTCTTAATTTATTTATATAATTGTCACCATATAAAAGTCTAATTGTTCACTCCTGGGCTTTGGAGAATTGTTTTATTTCAGTCCTCCTGGATTGATTTGGAGAGACATCCAAGTATTTCTGTGTCATTGCACTGAGGATAATATCTGATAACACCAGCCACTTCCAGTGTCCTTATGGAATGGTAGACTTATGAAGAAATTAGTTCTTTTTTTCCCTATGGCTCCATGGATGAAAATAAAAATCCTTGAAAGGGAAAACACTGGACTCAACCGCCTTCCCCCAACACCTGTTGGTACATAAAAGTATCCCTTCCCAGGCCAGGGCTGTTTGTATTATAAGCCAGTACACTTTAAATCTACATGACCAGGCATTTTCCTCCAATGCTGAGAAGGGGTTATTTGGGAAGACAAGCTTAAAGGCTACACAGGCCCCTCTCTGCCCTTAACTCACCCGAGTTGCTGAAGAAATGAGTCATTGTGCAGAGCAGAAGGAGCCCCCCGATGATCTTCATGGCGGAGACGGCTGTGATACAGAGGCTCTCAGGGCTGCCACACCAGCTACATCAGCCATACCCTAGGAAAGGGGTCAGGTTTATATGCCAGTTCTTGGTTTCTCCACCTTTCCTGTGAAGTCATCCCGAGTCAGTGTTGGCTCTGAGAGGTTCTCAAGGCACAGTGTCACACCCTGGGTGGTGTTATTGTTCTTGTCACTTAATTGCTACTTATTATCTGACCGAGAAATTGATTGTTTAAGGTGAGAAGTATTTTCCTGTCTGCACCAGAGGTGGGGACTCTTATTTAGAATTCTCAACTTCAAGTAGTAGAAGAGATTAACTACTGGTTGCTTGACCTAGTTATGAAATAAGTAAAAACATCAAACTTTTTTTTCACCAAATAAAGAATATTAGATTCAGATTGGATAGATCACACTTAGGTTTATATTCTGCCTCCTGGGAAAATACTGTTTCTTTCTGAAGCAATGGACATAAGAAGCAAGCTGGGACCTGATGGGAGGAACAGTGACCTTAGCATTTGAGACTTGGAGAAGGGCATTGACATTTTCTAGCTGTGTGACCTTGGGTAAGTATTTATGTGCCATGAGCCTGTATCAGTCAGAGAGACCTGTTTATGCTGTGCTAACATATAACCTAAAGATTTCTGTGACTTAATATATGTTTGTTTTTTACTCAGGCTATCCACATACAGTTGTCAGCAGATGGTGCCATATTGCCTTCAATGGATCCCAAGTTGGCTGAGTGGTTTTGTAATATCGTTCATTGTCAAGGTGAAGTGAAGATGTGTTCTTGAGAATTTCCATTTTCAGCAATTATATATTCCCCTAAGAAGTGACACTACTGTCACCTTCTCTCAGCATCAAGTGACCTAGCTCAACCAGAGAGGTTACAGTGTGATCTTATCTTGTCCCTTGAAGACCAGAAGGGAGAGAACTGGAAAAATAGTTGTCAAAAAATACAGAGACCATCCCAGAGCCTTAGTTTCATGCCTTGTCAAGTGGGACCTACTGCTAACCACAATAGAATTTACAGAAAATGTGTCACCTACATAAAAGTCTGTTCTAAAATGCAGGGCACATCATTATTATTGCAATTATAATTATTATTAATGATCAATCAAAAGTCTCTGCTATGGGTTGCTGACATTAGATTGTAAACTGGATTGCCCAAACACAATTGTCCAATTAGCTCCTTTTTGTCTGTTGGACTCGAGGGCATATGCATGAAAACCTGAAGGAAGGCAGTGGACTCTTCCACCAGTCTTTTGCTTGGTGGGTTTATTTCAGTACATTCTGAAACAGAGAATCTGCAAAGATAATAAGCTAATAATAAATGACATTGCATAGTTCCCTAAAATTTTGACTTTTACACCTGTTTGGGAAGGAATATAATGTAGTAGTTAATAGGGGCATTGCATCCAGAAGGTCTTATTTGGAAGTCTTGCTTTTAATAATTGTTGATTTTATGACTTTAAGTATACAGATTAAGCTCTAGGTGTTTTGATTTCCTCATCTGTAACATAGAAATAATATTTACCTCCCAAAATGGCTTTAAGTATTGAATGCAGATACACACACACACGTGCGCGCACGCGTGTGTGTGTGTATCAGAGTACCAAGATTATACTTAGAGCTTCATACATGGTAGCTAGAATATGGAATGTGATCTTCAGGACAACTCATTGAGGAAGGAATTTTTATTACCCTAATTTTACCAGTGAGTAAGTTGAGACTCAGAGGATTTAAGCAATCTTCACAAGATCATGATACTAATTAATGGGGGAGACAATTTTGAGTTCAGTAATGGAAAAGAAGAGAAGTGAATGCCATAATAGAGTTCATTACAAGTTTTATTGTTTGCTATGATAGTTTGAAGACAATGAATACTGAGAAAAAGCCATTATGTTTCAAGAAGAGTTATCTTTGTTGCAGTTTGAAAATGCATTTAGCAAAGAGGAATGGGAATTGGTTCAAAGGGAGATTAGGATGAAGTAGAGAATAGCATTATAATTTTTTTCAGATATTTGATGGTCAAAGAGAGGAGGGAAATGAAAGAAGCTAAGGCTTCAGCAAAGTCTAGGATGGGTTGAACCTGTCTTACAGCCAAAGGGAAGAAGGAATTTAAGATACATGGTAGAAGGTGGCTAATTACAGCATTACAGAAAACTGTAACTTGTCCTAAAGATCACATTATATATATGTATATATAATCTCATTCAATACTCAAAGCCACTCTGGGAGGTAAATATTATTTCTATGTTACAGATGAGGAAATGAAAACATCCAGAGCTTAACCTGTATCCTTAAAGTTGCACAGTCAACATTGTAAGGTAGACTCTGGCTGTTAAGTTCTGGGGTTGCCTTTTGCAGTAGAAAAATTGGGTTGGTCTGGAAGCTGGAGAAGGATGGAGAGGCTTGGTACAGACATCAGTGGAAGACTGTCAGATAGTCAACAGTGGATATGAAAATTAATGGCCACTAGACAAAATCACCACTAGATTTTTTGCAGGTTCAATCAGTACCATGCTGAATATTTCTCCCTAAATATATTACCACATTGAGTAAGAAATGAAAAAAAGGTGACTTTCTGGATAGGGAGTGTGTACATCAGAGACTGGAGGGGAGCCATAAGGATGGCCATAGGCTCAGAAGAGAGTCAAGTGTTCGAGAAGGCTCTGAAAGACTATGCAAGGTGTGAATAGTTAAGAGTTCAGAAGTCAGAGTTCAGAATACATGTAGACTTAATAGTAGTAGTAGCTTTGGGGAATATGAACAATTGTTTATGGAGGCTATGGTTAGTAGGCAAAATGCCAGATTAATTTCTCAGAGGTGGGACTGAGATAGTAATCCTCAGGGTGTATCCAAATATAAAGTAGATAAAAGATTGGTGGAAACAAAGTTCTTTGGATTTAAAAATGTGAGGAAAAGTGAGATCAAATGATCAGGTGTGGGTGGGTTGCTTAGGTTTGGGCAGCTGTTTACACAGAAATTTTTAAGTTGCACAATGAACCATGAATTAAAGAAGGAGGAGCTTTTGGAGGTGAAAGGTGAAGCTTGAGAAGACAAAAAGTCATCCGTTTGGGCTGGGGGCAGTGTCTTTATTCCTCTTAACCTTCGTGCAAGGAGGGAAAACTTGAGGCCTTGTCAGATTATGACCATGGTTCCATTCTAGGGAAGGCAGGGTAGAACTAATGTGGAAAAACATAAAAATGAAATGAGAGAAAAATTTGAGAGTACTAGGGATTTCTTCCCCAATGGATTTAAGGTGCCACAGGGAAGGGAAAGATGACCCATCAGAAAGTTAGAGATGGGTGGTAGAATTAAACTGGTGCAGGATCTGAATACAGAGGTTCTAGGTCAGTTAGCTAAAGGGAGATAAGGAAGCCAGCATCACGGCTGGGCAGTAATCCAGGTATAGAATAATGGCTGTAAGAAAGGAAAGGTACAATAAGAAAATTAACCGTATATTATGCACTTACTATGTGCTGGAACTCTGCTACATTTGGTGTGTGTATTATCTCATTTAAGATTTAAAATAATCTTCTGAGATTGATGTGATTATTTGTCCTGTTATATAGCTGAGGCAACAGGGACTTAGAGAAATGGCTAGTTTAAGTTTAAAAGCCAATGCTTTTTAATCACTCGGGTGTATTGCTGTTAAATCTAAATCTAAGAGAGAGATTTGGAGACACGTTGGAAATTGGACTGAAAGGAGTAAAGCTGGTCAAATCAGGGCAGTCAGGAAGGACAGCTTATGTTTTAAATGAGCAGGCAGAAGGAGCTGAGTACTGGATCAGAATGTGTCACCTTTTCATGTGTGAGGATCATCTGGTAAGAAGGAGGGTCTCAGTGGGGAGAGAGAGTGATCTAGAGCCAGAGGACAATGGTTCCTTCCCCATCCCCACTCTCATCTATCTAAGGTGCAATGCTGTGACAGTCCCTTTTCTACGTTGTGCTTTCTACTTCTCCCACATCTAGGGAGATTGACCTAGATTGGCGCTTCAGGTTTTCAAGTTAAAAACCCTTCCTTGAAACACTAATATGTACAACTGATAAATAAGGCTGAGGATTGGAAGTGGGTGAGAAGAAGTTGCAACTCTCCTAATTCTGCATTTTCCTCCTAATTGCTGTATCAGCCCATTCTCAACCCTCTGGGTTCCTTCCTTCTTGGCGTCCATCACGCATTCCATCCAACACCCTCAAGGCCTTCTTGTGATGATTTTAAAATCAATGGCCTAGATTTGGGTGGACTAGCTCTTGTCTTTTGTTTGTCCTTCTCTCCCTTCCCTGTGTGGCTCTTTCACATTCTAGTTCTTTTTCTTCTTTTTCCTTTCCTTTTCCCTCACCTCCCCTTTCTTCTCTTCCTCCCCTTCCTCCTCCTCCTTCTTCTTCTTCCTCTTCATTTTCAATGTAGCCCTCACTGTATTCATGCCTTTTTGTGTACTGGGACACAATGACCCAGAGATCTGGATATTTGCATTTTGATCTTGTGTGTGGCAGGACCTTGTTCCTTGCTTTTCATGGGAACAAGGAATTAGCGCATCCAGGGATCCTATGCTTTGATTCTCTTTAATTTTCTTTGAATTGCTGAGGCCAAATAATTTCAATTATGGGACAAGATGATGTAAATAAAGGGTGACAACCCTTTTGTATTGGTTCATTTTGCTCCAATGTGACCTCACACTATCTGGATTTAGATTTTACACATACACACACAGCTTCCAGCTCCTATTGGTAAAATCATCTTTTTTTTTTTTTGCCACGTGCTACTGGTTTATTTATTCATTTGAGCTTATCATTTCATTTCTGTTTTTCTAAGCATCAATTAAAAATAACAACAAAGTAATGTCTTCTTTGCTCAGTTCTGAAGGGAACACTGTTTCTTTTGGGAGGATCCACAATGCACTTTATTTTATTAAAGGCTCCGTTAAATGTTCTCTAATACTTTAACTCAGTTTTCTCCAAACTTAATTTGCCATAGTTTACTTATTATTTTACAAACATTAAACAACATCTAAAGAGATGTTAATGTTTTCTTTAACACTGAGAACAAGGATTTACTCTAATTTCCTATAAGGTCACGATGTCCAATATAAAGGAAGGTTACCAAGGAAGATCACTGATTTTTTGGTCTGTTTGGTTTCCTCGGCAATTCTTCATCATATTGAACAGAACTCCATTTCTGTATGGCTTCTGTATGGCTTTCTAGTTCTCCACAGTGGAGACCAATAGAGTGGGTCTGCTCTCTCTTTCCAAGTCTATCCCTTCAGATATGCAAAGGCAGCTCTGGAGCGTCTAGTCAAAGTCCTTTTTCTCCAGATGATACAGATCAACTTCTTTAATATTTCCTTTACAGTATATAATCCCTTAGGTTCTCTAGACCCTGACATATTAACACAACATTACTTAGTAACAGTGAAACACAAGTCATAATCAACCTCACCATTTCCCTTTGCTATTCCGGTCAGTGTCATCCCCACTGGAGATACAGAGAAAAATAAGGTAGACAAAAATTCTACTTCTTGGAACTTCCTTTCTTGTAGAGTAGAAAAAGGAAAATAACAAAAAAGTAGTAAGGTGATTTCATATTTTGACAAGTATTTAAAAGACATTGTATCATGGTATTGGAATAAAGAGTAATCTGGAAATAAGAAACAAATTACATTGAGTTATTAAAGAAGGCTTCCCAGAGCCTGAATGATGAGGACCGACACCTGAATGATGACAAGGAGCCGTTCTGGAAAAGCCAGGGACTCAGTGGTGCAGAGAGAAGAGCTAGTGTGATGGCCGCTGGCACATCAAGCCTATTGAGGGATTCCGCTTTCTCCAATTCCAAGATTACATAAAATGGCAGCTTTTGTTTTAAAAGAGTCAACTTGTAAATCAGTCAGGCTCCAGCCCATGTCCTCTGTGATTAGGCTACATGTTTTCCACTGAATTCTATATGAGATTGGATTACAAAATTCTTTCATCTATTTTTTTTCTTCTTCAGATGGTCTTTTCTCCACGTGTCTCTCTTCTTACTATTTCCTACTACAAACTGTCCTGGTGACTTCAGTTAGAGTCTGCGTCTAGGAGTTTATGGTCTTAAACATCCATTTAGTGTCTACTTACTGAACTCTTATTATATGCCTCACTTGTTATTATATGACCTTGTTTTATTCATTTTCATCACAGCATTCATTGTTACCTGTTATTGCCTGTTCCTTTATTTGCATATTATTCATCTCTCGCCACTGGGAGGCAGGTTCCACAAGAACAGGATCTTGCCCGACTTGTTCGTTTACTTCTACTAGCACCTAATATAGTATTTGCAGAGTAAGAACTACACAAATAATTACCAAATGAATGAATGAATAGTTTTAAGATTCCTCATCATTAGTCACAAGGTAAAGTAACAACAGAATTCATCCAGCATTGGGAAGAAATCATCTGGTTTGCATCAGTGAATTTAAAAAGAAATAAAGCATACCTCACTGGAACTTAAATTTTTCATCATTTTAGATTGAACTTAACTTCATTAAGAAGAGGACACTGTGAAATATTCAACACATTCTCCCCCACTTTGTTGCCGGTATGACTCAGAAATCTCCTTTAAGTTGAAATCACTGTTGTCTGAGTGAACAAGCGCTCTTTCGCAGAGCCCCCTGCAGGGGCGAAGTGCAGAGGATAAATGCACTCTGCGTGCTTCTTAGCTGCTACCACCACGGTATCAATGCCAGGGATCCACCAATCCTAGTGGTGCCCATAAATCTATAAAAAGATTTATCAGCTAAGCAAAAGTTTCCATGAATTAAGGTTATACCTACATACTTTACGAAAGGTACTACCTAAATGTAGCACGTCCAGAGCAGATGGCCAGGCTAGAAAGAAATACATAACTGTGTCCACATCTTGCTTCTCTTTCCAAACTTATCTCACTTCGACTCTCCTGCCTGAGGGCAATTAAGGTCCATTCCTTAATTTTTATTTTGGTGGAGTTACTGTTCTACTGTTCCATTTCTTTGGTCTGCCTTTTATTATTTTTGAAAATAGAGATGGAAAGATGAAAAAGTAAAATACTGTTAAATTACACAAGATGATCAAAATTAGCAAGAGAAGGTCTATATTTTAGGAGACTCTTGGAGAAAACAGAAAGACCTGAAACGATTTCCCCAGCTCCAAAGAGATCCACCCTGATGGACCCTACTGACCAGGGGCCCCGGGGGAAGGAAGATGATGTAAGAGGACAAAGGCCCTGTTGCCAGCAGAACTGAGCTGTGTATTAGCTGGAAAGGGGATGGAGAAAGCTGAGCTATGGGGACCCTTCTGGCTGAAGAACTGGTCAGAGTAAGATAGAAGAGTGAGGCTGACATCTAGTGGCAGCAACAGGTAATGGTACAGAGCCCACTGAAGCCAAAGGGCTGATCACTTTCCCCAGCCTCAAAAATATAATGATGGCTTCAGCTCCCTGTATTAGTCAAGATCTTTCAGTTATAAGTGACAGCTTATAAGATGGATTAAGCAAAAAAGAAAAATGAATTTATTGACCGATGTAGTAGGAACAATGGAATGGAGTAAGAATTAAAAATGCTAAAACTAGGGGATCAAATGGAATCTATTCTTCCTCTCAAAAACATACATTCCCTCCAGAAGTTCTTGGTACTCCTCCCTCCTTCTATTAGCATATGAACACTTTTTTCTCTAATGAAGGTGAACTTCATTTACGAGTACAAGGTAGAAAGTCTCAAATAGCTGTTTGTATGTGTGTGAGATGTTTTCTTATGCTCGCTCGTGTCTTCTGGTGAGATTAGTGGGACAGGGTCGGATCTCACAGGTGAGCCTGCACTTTGGGGTAAGTTTATTTCGGGGAGTGTCAGTAACACGACTTGATGACAGATCTTAGACGCAAGTAAAATGAAAGCTTATTTTAAACAATCAGTACACAGGGGTAAATACCACCTCTTGCATTATTATATTTATTTGTAAGAGATGTGTCACTTGGTTCTCCATTAGTTTGATTCCTTTATTTTCAGTTTTGTTCCAAATTTGGGTGTAGCATAGATGTGTTATTTATCATATGCCTTTAAATTCCAAAAGGAATGATTTTCGGAATTAAGTAGTGAAACGAATAAGCAGGTGTAGTACTCCGGTACTCATTAGTCACATTTTCCATATTTATAAAACTTAATATGAGGACCAAATTCCCTAAAGAGAAGAGATTTTTTAAAAAGGAGATTAGTATCATAAGGAAAGTGGGTATTGCTTCACATTCTCTCATTTTCCAAATGTAGTCCTGAGAAAGGGAGCTGCTTAGCAATTCCCTTTATATCTGTCTCTTTTCCTGCTGATCACCCCACATTCCTCCTCTATCTCTTAATTATTCAAAATGGTGTTCTATGAAGTTTTTCAACCGAGAATCTTTCATCTCATAACTCATTCCCATTTTGGTACCTTTTTTTAAAAGATTTTATTTATTTATTTGACAGAGAGAGAGAGAGCAGGAACACAAGCAGGGGGAATGGGAGAGGGAGACACAGGCTTCCCACTGAGCAGGGAGCCCGATGTGGGGCTCCATCCCAGGACCCTGGGATCATGGCCTGAGCCGAAGGCAGAGGCTTAATGACTGAGCCACTCAGGCACCCCAGCCTTCCACCTTTAGATATTACTGTTCCCTAATACATAACATTCACTTCAACACAATTTTTCTCTTTATTATTTCCCTAACGACACCACACATTTTCTCAGTTCCAAATGTTTTCCCAAGCAGAGTGCCCTGTATAAATTGCCCATTCTATTTTCTCTTGCATTTTTAAATTTTTTTAAAGATTTTATTTATTTATTTGACAGCAAGATACAGTGAGAGAGGGAACACAAGCAGAGGGAGTGGGAGAGGGAGAAGCAGGCCTCCCACTGAGCAGGGAGCCCAACGCGGGGCTCAATCCCAGGACCCTGGGATCATGACCTGAGCTGAAGGCAGATGCCCAACGACTGAGCCACCCAGGTGCCCCTCTCTTGCATTTTTTTAAAGAATCCTTTAAACTTAGCTTCTTTCAAGAGACTCCCCACCTTGACCCCCATCTCAGGCTGACCGTTGATGTATATCTGATCGACACACTTGGGTAAGGGATTTCAAACATGTTAACTTGCAGGAGCCAAGCCGGTAATATAAATAAGTGAAGGGGGCCTCCTTCACCACAACAGAGAGGTGGGACTGTCTGAAACGCCTGAACTCCATTTAGATGGGCAGCTGCTACTAGGCAGACATCGCTTTTTTTTTTTCATGTGAAATCCTAGCGTCCTATTAACACAACTTTGATTTTTCAAAATAAGTTGGAAATCTATATTTTTAGGTAAAATCTGATTTTTGAAATGCTGTCAACCATTTCAAGACTTACTAAAATATTGTTTGGTTGAACAAAACCAATGCTGTTTTCTATTATGAATTTTCTTACGCATGTATTCTTTTTGCCAAATGTGATCACAAACTTCTGAAGAGTCTGGGATTTTTTCATTCTATTTTCTTGGTAGTTATTATGAGGGTCCTACACCGAGTAGGCTTGAGGGATTCTTTTAAGGATAGCAACTATGATTCTGTATCAGTTCTGGCCAAGACTTGCACTCTTCTGTTTGTTCTCTTTTGTCTTTTTTTTTTTTTTAGTTTCAAGTTTTTATTTAAATTTCAGTTAGTTATTGCTTACATCATACACAAAAACAAATTCAAAATGGATGAAAGACCTAAATGTGAGACAGGAATCCATCAAAATCCTAGAGGAGAACACCGGCAGCAACCTCTTTGACCTTGACCATAGCAACTTCTTGCTAGACACATTACCACAGACAAGATCTTTGCAAATGGCAAGATTTCATTCTTTTTGATGGCAGAGTAATATTCCATTATATATATATTATATATTATATACACATACATATATAACATGTTATATATGTATATATACACATACATATAACATAATGATATATATTATTATTATATATATGTGTGTATATATACATATGTGTGTGTGTGTGTGTGTGTGTGTGTATAATATAATACACACACCACAACTTCTTTATCCATTCATCAGTTGATGGACATTTGGGCTCCCTCCGAGTTTGGCTATTGTTGATAATGCTGCTCTAAACATCGAGGTGCATGTATCCCTTGGAATCTGTATTTTTGTATCCTTTGGTAAATGCCTAGTAGTGCAATTGCTGGATAGTAGGGTAGTTCTATTTTTAACTTTCTGAGGAACATCCATACTGTTCTGGCTGCAGTTTTCATTGCCACCAACAGCGCAAGACGATTCCCCTTTCTCCACATCCTCACCAATACCTGTTGTTCCTTGTGTTGTTAATTTTAGCCATCCTGACAGGTGTGAGATGGTATCTCATCATGGTTTTCATTCGTATTTTCCTCATGATGAGTGATATCGAGTATCTTTTCACGTGTCAGCCATCTGCATGTCTTTTTTGGAGAAATGTCTGTTCATGTCTTCTGCCCATTTCTTGACTGGATTATTTTTTTTTGGGTATTAAGTTTGATAAGTTCTTTATAGATTTTTGGATACTAACCCTTTATCAGATATGCCATTTACAAATGCCTTCTCCCATTCCCAAGGTTGCCTTTTAGTTTTGTTGATTGTTTCTTTCTCTGTGCAGAAGCTTTTTAACTTGAAGTCCCAGTAATTCATTTTCGCTTTTGTTTCCCTTGTCTGTGGTGATGTGTCTAGTAAGAAGTTGCTATGGCTGATGTCAAAGAGGTTTCTGCCTGTGTTATCCTCTAGGATTTTAATGGATTCCTGTCTCACATTTTTGTCTTTCATCTATTTTGAATTAATTTTTGCATATGATATGAGAAAGTGGTCCAGTTTCATTCTTCTGCATGTTGTGTCTAGTTTTCCCAACACCATTTGTTGAAAAGACTATCTTTTTTCCAATGGATATTCTTTCCTGCCTTATTGAAGATTAGATGACCATAGATTTGAGGGTCAATTTCTGGGTTTTCCATTCTGTTACATTGATCTATGTGTCTGTTTTTGTGCCAGGACCATACTGTCTTGATCACGACAATTTTGTAATCCAGCTTGAA